GTGTGTGTGTGTGTGTGTGTGTGTGTGTGTGTGTGTGTGTGTGTGTGAGAGAGAGGGGGGGGGAGGAGACAGGGAGAGAATGTTTGAACAAGTGAGAGAGACAGAGAGAGAGGTAGAGAGAGATAGAGAGAGAGAGAGACGGACGGAGACAGAGAGAGAATTTTGAACAAGTGCAAGTGAACGGGATTGAACTCAGGGCCTTGTGACTGGCATCACATTGGTCAAACCTTTGTAACTAATTTTTTTTTAATTTGTCAAAATTGCAATATCTACAATATTGCCTGTTTAAATATGATGCTCACTCATGTTAGGGTAGAAGTAGTAGAAGTGTTGGGTGTATGTGAAGCAGCGATAGCGTTGAAGCATTACTTTATGGTGCATAGTGTCAAGCTGTTTAAAGGAAGGCCGCCTTTGTGCCTGGGAGGCATTGCTCTGAAGCAGTTCACATGAACTATAGCTCTGGGATTTTTTCAGGACTGTTGCAACCATGACGTCCGAAGAAAAGAAGGAGCGACCCATAAGTATGATAAATGAAGCTTCCAATTACAACATGGCTTCAGACTATACGGTGCATCCCATGAGCCCTGTGGGCAGGGTAAGTTATTCCGCTTATTCTTAATTGGTTATAAGTAGTAATTTATATCTATTGTTGATATTCATCATAGACTGAAAATTGGAATTAAAGAATAATGATTATATTTTTAATATTACATGGTACTCATTATATTGGCAGTAATTGACATAAATAATAGCTTCAAATATAAATTAATAAAAATTTAATGACCTACATTTCTTTTAGATTTTGAGGTGAGATATTCAGTAATTTTGTAAATATTATGGATGTTTGTATGGGGGATGGCTATACTGTTGAATCAACTAAACTTTTAGATGGAAAGTTAATGTAGCCTAGAAATCCTATTTCTTTGTGAAGAATTCTTATACTTGAAATAAGCCAGCAAAATTAGAATTGTAATTTTTCCTCCAATTAACTGAGAAATCAGGAAAAAGATGAAAATTGTAAAAATGGAGACATTGTTAAAGCTGCAGCCCTTAATAGTTCATGTCTGTCCTCCTTTTTCCTGTTTAGACATCACGGGCCTCCAAAAAGGTTCATAATTTTGGAAAAAGATCCAATTCAATTAAAAGGAACCCCAATGCCCCTGTGGTCAGGCGTGGCTGGCTGTACAAACAGGTAGGTCTCTCTGTTCTCAGATGCCCTAAGAAGCCAGGGTAGGTGATCCTGAGAAGCTCATGGCTGAGGATTTTTAGGAACTAGGGTTGTTTAGGAAGCTGTACCTGAGAGGACACCCAGCATCACTCTGTTGTCTGCCTTTTTCTCTCTTCTCCCAGGCAGTCACACCACTTACCCAGCCTGCTCATTGGTACCCCTCGTAGATTCTGATGTGTCTAAGTAGAGTCTGCAAAATCTGCTTATCCGTGTTCACTGAATTTAAGAGCACTTTAAACCAGATTCAGTAGCCCATGCCTGGAGGCAGGGGCAAAGGAACAACAAGTTCAAGGCCACCCTTGGGTTCAACTCCAAACATAAGAAAATACTATCTAATTATTACATCAGTGGCTTAGTGACCTTTCAGATTCACTACTTTATAGTCAGTAATCTTTTTTTTTTTTAATGACATTCATTCATTAAAATATCTAGTTATTCAGGTGTGGTGGCACACAAGCCTTTAATCCCAGCACTCAGGAGGCAGAGGCAGGTGGATCTCTATGAGTTTGGAGCCAGCCTGGTCTACAGAGCAAGTTCTAGGACAGCCAGGGCTACACAGAGAGAAACCCTGTCTCAAAACAAAACAAACAAAACAACCCAACCAAACAACAACAAAGAAGTTCACAGTAAATTTGCTGTGACCTATTCCAGGAATGCTGTACCATCCTGAGAGCTGTGGACAGCTGAGACTGTGTGTCAGAGGGGAGCTGGCCTAAAGCGCCTGCTCTAGTTCTTCTGCACGTCTCCTCTGGAAGGAAGGAAGGAAGACTCCATGTGCTCTTACCTACTGTTAGAACCCAACGATGTCTGAGTAGTTTGATATCAGTGCACCCAGTTGAGGCCAGTGGGGCTCTGAGCAACAACTGAAGATGTTGTCTTTAGCTTTCACCTGCTGGACTTCATGACACTAGTGTTACCTGTGTGAGCATTTAGTGATGGATATGTGACCTTAAAAGTATTTGTAGCTTTCCTGTCTGTTCAAAAGAAAGAATGTAATTAAGACAGAAAATGTCATTTACCATTCACACACGCATCCCTTTGGTGTTTGTTTTCTCCCTTGGGGTAGCTATTCATTTTAAAGATAAACATTTTCTGTTCAGGACTTTTTTTCTACCCATATTTCATCTCTATCATTTTAAGATCACTGTTAGATTAACTAGAAAGATAGTAAGAAGTGTTAATGTAGACATCTAAACAAGCCTGGCATTTTGAGGGCATCCAGTTTTCTCTAGCATTCTTGCTTACTGAATGTGGGAAAGTAATTTTATTATGAGTGTGATCTTGCCTGAAGCTGGTAGTTTCATGAAGTTGATCACTTAGCGTTAGCCTTAAGGAGACAGTCTTCTGCAGGCTGAGTGCACCCTCACTGCAGATGGAAGGAGTATGTGGTTCACTATTTGTGTGTGAGGGTTTCTCACTCACCGGCATTGTATGGCCTTACGTTTCAAATCCTGTCAGTGTACACATTGTGCTTCTTGTTGCAGTTAACGGAATGAGTCTGGTGAGCAGAGTGAGTGCACCATTGTATGCTTCTACTGCCCTCTTCCTCCAGCTCACCTGCATGGAGGACAGAATATGAAGCTGCCTCATCCTGTCCCTTTTTCATGTGACTCTTCATGGAACAGTCTACTTGGGCCACCTTAATTAACATGAGTCCCTAGAATTTTTATTTTAAACTTTATTAGTCAGCATATAATAATTTATTTATGAAGAACCATGTGACATTTTCATAGATATAAGCATTCTAATCGAGTCAGGAACTGCATGCCTCCATCTTCAGAAGGCCATCATCTCTGTGGTAGGAACAGTCTGCCTTTCTGGCCTTGTGAAACGATGCTGTAGTCTCCCAGCTGTACAAGTTGAACAGAGCATGGATAAGTCTTTGGTTAGGCTGTGGTACATGCATATCATAAGTGCAAATTAAATATGTCTTCTGTGTTACATGCATATCATACGTGCATATCAAATGTCTTCAATCTGTTACTTAAACAGGACAGTACCGGCATGAAGCTGTGGAAGAAACGCTGGTTTGTGCTTTCTGACCTTTGCCTTTTTTATTACAGAGGTGAGTCCATCCACTGCCTGAGTGCCATACTTCATAACTGCTAAGTACTGGATATGTCCTAAGAGAAAAGACGTTATTAGTGCTTTTACTGTTCACAATGAACAGATAATATCAGGAAAACCTCTCTTTGCTGATCAAGGCTCAGAGTTCCTAGAGTATGGCAGAAGACAAGAGAGGGCTCCAGGCAGACTGGAGACAGTGTGGTCCTGGCCTGGAACTCACCATGTAGATCAGGCTGCTCTGGATTCACAGAGATCTGCCTGTTTTTACCTTTCAAGTACTAGTATTAAAGGTGTGGACTAGCACACCTGCATGAAGACTAGTCTGATTCCAGTCTACTTCTGTATTATGATTTGTTTTCTGTGAAGAGCTTAGGAGTCATCACTCAGTTGCGCTGTCTTTGAATACAGTGCCTACCAGAGTCCTTGGCTGGCTACATCTTTTTAGAGATGGCATGTCACTGTGTACCTGAGCTCGCCTGCTCCTAGAGCACCTTCCTCAGTTCTGTAGTATCTAGGATCATGGACATGATCAGCACTGCCAGCTGTAGACATGAACAGCACTGCCAGCTGTAGACAGGATCAGCACTGCCAGCGGTAGACATGAACAGCACTGTCAGCTGTAGACAGGATCAGCACTGCCAGCTGTAGACATGAGCAGCACTGCCAGCTGTAGACAGGATCAGCACTGCCAGCTGTAGACATGAACAGCACTGCCAGCGGTAGACATGAACAGCACTGTCAGCTGTAGACAGGATCAGCACTGCCAGTTGTAGACAGGATCAGCACTGCCAGCTGTAGACAGGATCAGCACTGCCAGCTGTAGACAGGATCAGCACTGCCAGCTAAGGGTTTTATATGTAGTTTTGTCAGGTCTAGCTAAGTTTATAGATTGCCCATAAATGTGTCTTTTTTGGATTAAAATATTTTTTATTAATTTATTTATTCACTTTACATCCCGATTGCAGGCCCTCCTGTCTCTTCTCCTCCCAGTCCCACCTTACTAATCCCTTCCCCCAGACTCCCTTCCTTTCTCCTCAGAGAAGGGAAAGCCCTCCAACCCCCCTTGTTTGTTTGTTTGTTTTTTAATTTTTCATTAAGAATTGAAATCTTACTTCTCTTTTTTTCTTTTTTTTCTTTTTTTTTTTTTTACATTTCAGATATTATTCCATTCCCCCCACCTACCCAGGAACCCCCTATCCCATCCCACCTCCTCCTGCTTCTGTGAGGATGTGCCCACCCACTCCCACCTCCCCACCATCGAATCCCCCCACACTGGGCATCCAGCCTTCATGGGACCAAGGACCTCCTCTTCCACCTATGCCCAACAAGGCCATCCTCCCTTACATATACAGCTGGAGTCATGGGTCCCTCCCTATGTGCTCCCAGGCTGGTGGTTTAGACCCTGGGAACTCTGGTTGGTTGGTATTGTTGCTCTCCCCATGGGACCACAAACACTTTCAGCTCCTTCAGTCTTCTCTCTAAGTCTTCCGTTGGGAACCCCATGATCAGTTCAATGGTTAGCTGTGAGCATCTGCCTCTGTATATGTCAGACTCTGGCAGACCTCTAAGGAGACAGCTATATCAGGCTCCTGTCAGCATGCACTTTCTGGCATCCACATCAGCATCTACCTTTGGTGACTGTACATGGTATGGATACCCAGGTGGAACAGACGGCCCCTCCTTCAGTGAAGTTTCTGTCCCATACTTTGTCTCTATATTTGCTCCCATAAGTATTTTGTTACTCCTTCTAAGAAGGACCGAAGCACCCACACTTTGGTCTTCCTTCTTCATGAGATTCATGTGGTATGTGAATTGTATCGTGGGTATTGTGAGCTTTTGGGCTAATATCCAATTATCAGTGAGTACATACCATGTGTGTTCTTTTGTGATTGGGTTACCTTGGGATGATATTTTCTAGTTCCATCTATTTGCCTAAGAATTTCACTAATTCATTGTTTTTAATAGCTGAGTAAATACTCCACTGTCTAAAGTGTACCACATTTTCTGTATTCATTCCTCTGTTGAAGGACATCTGGGTTCTTTGCAGCTTTTGGCTATTATAATAAGGCTGCTATGAACATAGTGGAGCATATGTCCTTGTTATATGTTGGAGCATTTTCTAAGTATATGCCCAGGAGTAGTATAGCTGGGTCCTCAGGTAATGCTATGTCCAATTTCCTGAGGAACCACCAGACTGATTTCCAGAGTGGTTGTACCAGCTTGCAATCCTACCAACAATGGAGGAGTGTTCCTCTTTCTCCACATCCTTGCCAGCATCTGTTATCACCTGAGTTTTTGATCTTAGCCATTCTAACTGGTGTGAAGTTCAATCTCAGGATTGTTTTGATTTGCATTTCCCTGATGACTAAGGATATTGAACATTTCTTTAGGTGCTTCTCAGCCATTTGAATTTCCTCAGTTGAGAATTCTTTGTTTAGCTCTGTAACCATTTTTAATAGGGTTATTTGGTTGTCTGGAGTATATATTGGATATTAGCCCTCTATCGGATGTAGGGTTGGTAAAGATCTTTTTCCAGTCTGTTGGTTGCCGTTGTGTCCTGTTGACGGTGTCCTTTGCCTTACAGAAGCTTTGAAATTTTATGCGGTCCCATTTGTCAATTCTTGATCTTAGAGCATAATCCATTGGTGTTCTGTTCAGGAACTTTTCCCCTGTGCCTAGGTATTCGAGGGTCTTCCCCACCTTCTCTTCTATTAGTTCCCGTGTATCTGGTTTTATGTGAAGGTCCTTGATTCACTTGAACTTGAGCTTTGTACAAGGAGATAAGAATGATTTCATTCTTCTACATGCTGACCTCCAGTAGAACCAGCACCATTTGTTGAAAATGCTGTCCTTTTTCCATTGGACGATTTTAGCTCCTTTGTCAAAGATCAAGTGACCATAGGTGTATGAGTTCATTTCTGGGTCTTCAATTCTATTCCATTGATCTTCCTGCCTGTCTCTGTACCAATACCATGCAGTTTTTAATCACTATTGCTCTGTAGTACATTTTGAGGTCAGGGATGGTAATTGCTCCAGAAGTTCTTTGACTCAGAAGTTAAGAACACTGACTGCTCTCCCAGAGGTCCTGAGTTCAATTTCCAGTAACCATGTGTTAATTCACAACCATCTGTAATGGGATCTAGTGCCCTCCTCTGGTATGTCTGAAGACAGTGACAGAGTACTCACACACATAGATGTGACTTTATACAAGTGAGGGTGATGTCCGGAGCTGTTTTGGTGGATTGCAAAATGAAAGACAAAATACAAATATAAATTGTGTGTGTGTGATATACAGTCTCTCATTCATTCATATATATATATATATAGTCTGGCTTAGTCCAGGCTAGTCTTGAATTTGTACTTCCTTCCTTGTCTGAGTACTGAAAATCAATGATTATGTCCTAAAAACATGAAAAAGATTATGTGAAAACCAGGCGCTTACTGTCGACACTGAAGAAATGCAGGGATTAGTGGGTGAATAAGCCCCTTCGTTCTCCTAGATGGCCATGAAAGAGTCTTCCTTGTTTTTCTTATAATTAGTAAGTTATTAGGAGAAACTCTCATGGTGGTGCCTAGGCTAGCCTCTCCTGGTCTGTGGCAGGCTCACACTACCATGTTGAGCTAATTAATAAAAGCCTTAACATGAAAGTTCAGTAAATTCTCTATGTCACGCTTCAAATGTGGTACCTGTGGGACAAACGTGTGGAAGGTTGTACTGATACACTGTTCTCTAAAGGACAGTCTCTCCTTTAAAACCTGATTGGAAAGTATCGCTTAAGAATTAGAGTTGTTGGGGCTGGAGAGATGGCTCAGTGGTTAAGAGCACTAGAGGACCTGGGTTCAATTCCCAGCACCCACATGGTAGCTTAAACAACAGTGGAGGAGGGATTAGATTGCCAGCTCGTTACTAAGAATTTATGGCTTTTCTTTGCACATATGAATTGCACAATATGAGCTGGGTATATTGATTGGAGCATGACAGTAATCACCCAGTCACTGTTCGGACCTGGGACCTTTTATGATTCTCAGTATTTGCATCCGTGACATTTGATATGGTTTTATGTTTTTAAGATGCACATGCTTTTATGTATATGAAGTTTTACCTACATGTGTACCAGATGTGGGCCTGGTACCCAAGGGAGACAGAAGAGGGCATCAGATCCCCTGAAACTGAAGTTACAGACAGTTGTCAGCTGCCACGTCGGGGCTGGGAACCAAACCTGGCTCCTCTCCAAGCATAGCAAGTGCTCTTGACTATTGAGCCATCTCTCTCCAGCCCTGTTATCTCTTCTTGGTTCTATGGAATTGGCTTTCTTTTTCTCTTTTGATTTTTAATTGAACTCCTACTTTATCAAGTATCAGAAGAGCTATACTATCTTATTTTCAACTTGCATTGTCTTGATAGATTGATTTCAGTTCTTTGACTCTGTCTGCAGACAACAGAAAAAGGATCTCATTCAGTCCAGTTGTTTGTTCTTTTCTTTCTCCAATACTGTACTAGGAGATTGGTGGTTGACTGTTACATATTATGGATTCCTTCCTAGCTTTTATTTGTTCATTTATTTCTCTCAAGAAATGTATCCTATTGTTCTTGGGTTAAGACTTCCTTCTTCATCTATGTATAGTATTCCTTCTTCATCTGTCTATAGTATTCCTTCACATCTCTTTAGTCAGGCTTACTGGTCATAAATGACATATCTTAGCATATGCTTGTTTTGATATATCCTTCCTCCGTCAGTTTTAGTGTTGTTATTTTACGTGTAGTTATTTTATGGGTATGAATGTTTGCTTGCTCATGTGTGTATCATGTGTATGCCTGTGGACCACAGAGGTCACATGAGCTTGTCAGATCCTGATGGAGCCAAAGATGGTTCAGGCTGACTGAACCCATCATATTCTGCATCGTTTTGAAAGATACATTTGTACCACTCAATAGACTAGCTTTCACAACTTGAATATATGTTTTGTGCTTTCCTTGCATTTAGGACTACTGTTAGAAAGCTGGTGTTATTCTCATAAGCGTACATGTGTAGGAGAGCTGATAGAACTACTTCCCCTTTACTTTGTGTTTTTAGCATCTTATCCGTTAATAAGCCATAGTAAAGTTTTCCTCTAAATTCTGCTTTTGTGGGAAATCCCTTTCTTTCTCTAGATTTCAAGAGTTTTCTGCTATACTTAGTTTCTCTCTGGTTTTCTTTTTGTTTTGGCTTGGTTTGGTTTTTTGTTTGTTTGTTTGTTTTTGTTTTTTTGTTGCTGCTGTCTCTTTCTCAATTCCTACCTCATGGAATTTTTTTTTTTAGCAAAATCATTTTTTTATTTAAATTTACATCAGGAGGTTATAGTAATCAAAATAGCAGTATACTGGCATAAAAACAGAACATTGGAACAAAATTGATAGCCAAGAAATAAAACTGAACAAATAGAGTCAATTAAATTTTGGCAAGGATACTCAGGACACTGAAGAAATTGATCATCTCTCCTAGTACACGAAACTGAGGAAACTGGATACTCACATGCAAAGGAACGAACCTGGACTGTTAAGCCGCTTATGAAACAGACCATCTCTATATAAGGCCCAGGTCCTAAAGCCACAGTGCAGCACAAGACATCATAGGGGAAGCTCTTTTAACACTGGACTGCAAAGTAGGAGACAGTCATCCCAATAGTTTGAAGCCATGCATCTGATGAGCAGGCTTGGCCTCCTGACTGTGGCTGTGGAGCTTGGGCGTGTGCTCACAGGCATTTCTTCAGTTTTCAGTATTGATGATTGGCTGTAGAAGCTGACATCCTCTGTCCCTGATGACTCTCTCCTGCTTGACCAAGGCGGGTGGTGCTTCCCGCTTTCTTTTCCTTCTTAGTTTTTCTTGCAGGCCCCTCATTTTTCTCTCTGTATCACTGACTGTCCTCCCTGAGGCATCAAATGAGTTTACCCACTTCTTGTTTCATCTTTGAAATCATAGATGAATTTCACTAACTTTGAAATCATCCCATGTTTACCTGTGTCACTGTCTTGGTTTTGGCTGTGCCATTGTGATCTCTTGGAAGAGTCCTGCCTCTCTAACTTGCTTGTGTGTCTGAGTCATGATGTAGAGAACCTGGAGGTGGGTTATTTCTTTTGATTTTCCGTGGGAATCTGATATTCCACAGCCTCTTGAGACTTAAGCTGCCAGGACCACTCAGGAGCTGTCACTACTGTGTGAGGCTTCTACTTCATGCCCCAAGCTGGAGCTGGGGCGGTTTTCTTCTTTCCTGTGAACTGTCAAAGCTTTTTTTCTTCTTTGGTATCTATTCTGTCTTAGATGACTTTTCTTAATGGGATCAAATGCAGGCAGCTTCTAGTCCTGCATTCTACTCAAAGGTCTCCTCTCTGTTTGCAAATTTTAAATTTGTTTGGATTATACAAGATATGTGTGGCAAGGTTCTGTGGTCACCTACCAAAGTGATAACATGTGTGTATTAACCTTCTAAATACAGTTACTAGAATTGTTTTCATCAGTTCACTGCCCAGGAAACTGTGGTTAAGGATACTGCTAAATCAGAATTTACCAAACCTATAAAATTTCATTTTGTCTCTAGACATTGGCCAGCATCAGTGGTGGTGCTCTGTGTCTTAGTTGGTGCCAGGCTCACTGTGTAATGTTCCTCATTGAATTTCCCGCTCTGAGGGAATAGTTGTCTGTATTCCTCCTTTTCCAGTACATTTATTACATTTATTGACAGTTTGTGGAGTATAAAATAAAACAAGAAAATGTTTACTATTCCTAGTTTTTTTCTAAAATAAAAATTTTATAATAATTATAACAAAAGGAATACCAATTCTTTGTAATGGTTTTGCTTCTGAAAGGTGCATGTTTTTATTTATTAATGACCTATGTGTGTGGTGTGGGGATAGGCATGCCGATGTTACAGCAGATGTGCGAACCTTGATGAGATTCGCTTCTCGTCTTTCTCTTCCTGGGTCCTGGAGCTTGAACTCAGCTCATGCACCAAGTGCTTCCACCCACGGAAATGTTTAAAACATACCATAAAGCCAGACAGTAGTGGGTTCAATCCCAGTGCTCAAGAGACAGAGGCAGGCAGGACTCTTGAATTTGAGGCAGCCTGATCTACAGGGTGAGTTCCAGGACAGCCAAGGCTATAGAGAGATGACTGTTGGGTCATTGTCCTCAGTGTAGTTGATGTGCTTGCTTTGGAGGTCGTCACTGAAGCCCTTGGTTTCACTATGGATCTCAGCATCTAGTAAGGGCAAGCGCAAAGCTCTACAGCTCTGCGGCTGTCCACTTCTCATGGCATAGTTGGATACGTGTTCATGTGAGCATATCTACTTAGCACGTTCTTGGACACCTGCTCCCACCTCTCTAAATCTCCTCATGAAACTTGCCAGTCCAGGAGGACAGGGAGCAGTGTGAACAACTAGAGCATGGAGTGTGTTGGAACATGGGGCAAGTGGCAAAACTGACCAAAGAACAGAGCCTGACCAACACTAACTTTTCTTTCAGATGAGAAGGAGGAGGGTATCTTGGGAAGCATCCTGCTGCCTAGTTTTCAGATAGCCATGCTTACTGCTGAGGACCACATCAATCGCAAATATGCTTTTAAGGTAAGGAAATGCACATGCAGTGCTTGAAGCTTTAAAAAGCAGATACTGACCCACAGACTATTGTAAAAAAGAACTTCTAGTCGCGATGTGTACATTTCAAGTGTATTGGTGGCCCTGGAGAGATGGTTCAATGATTAAGAACACTTAGTGCTCTTCTAGAGAACCTGGGTTTAATTTCCAGTGCCACATGGCACTCACAACTGTCTGTAACTGGTGTTCCAAAGAATCCAGTGCCCTCTTCTGCCAAAGGCATACATGTAGGCAAAACACTCATACACATAAAATTTAAACATAAAGCATATGGGTTAGTGACATTACTGCCTTGCCAGAGAATGCTGTCCGTTTAGGAAGCACGTGCTAACATGTTCTCTGTGAAGCCTGGCACAGTGAGCTTCATGGATGGCTATGGCTAGATGTCTTGGTGATCTCTGTTCTCAGTTATTATTTGAATTTTGTCAGATGAAATATCTGGGAAGAGTGTTGGAAGAGACAGCTCTTCAGTGTGACATTCACAGACTTTTTAGGATAGCCTCAAAGAGATTCTCAAGTACATAATGCTCAGATCCCATCTAGTGTGTAACTTTTTCTAAGACGTATGTTGCATTATTATTAACCTTGAAGCTAAAAGAGAAGTCAGTTAAAGAAAATTTTTTAAAAATCTGCAGTGTTAAAATAGCAATAAAAGTGGACATTGCACTTGATATAGTTTTTCTGGGATATTAGTTTGATTTGTCGTGTCTTTTGTCTGTAACAATAGTAATCACTGTTTCAACTTTTCTTTTGTGGTATTTCCCCTAAATTCTGAGCTACTGTATGACTGCATTTCTCGATGTTGAGTCTACTCTTATCAGCATGGTAAGTAGGAACTTCACGCTTTCTGAACTCACGAGTGGGGGTGGCTTTGTTGAGTTGTATCAGGGCAGGCGCAGGATCTTCTCGCCATCAGCCCAGTTCCTTCCACTGAGGACAGATATGGGCGGTGTTCTTCATCCATTTGTCCAAAATTCCAGGGATTGCTAATCATCATAACAGTAGAGGACTTGAACTTTGTCTCGGCTGTTTCCATAGTGATCTCTGACATCACTGTGGAGATTTGTTATCTGTGATGGTACAGAGATGGGTGAGATGCCTAAGAACTGTGTGTGTATTCTAAGGATGCGAAGCTAATCTGACTTGGGGATGAAGCAGACAGCAGGATATTGGCGTGCAGGGTGCGGTGCCAGATGGGGAGCTCTAGCTCAGAGCTTGGCCGGGCCTGCTTCACCCTCTCTCACCAATCTGAGGCCAAGTCTGAACGTCTAATGGGAAAGCACCAGAGGACTTTTAAATGGAGTGGAGACTGCTCATTCCTGCCGTCAGCCCTCTCCCTCCACAGCCTGTTTTCATTATCTGCCATGGGCTTGCCGTGCTTCCCCACAGTAGCAGGCTTGCCAGTGCCTTTACTTGTTCTCCTTCTGTTTTTCTGATAAAAAGAAGACCATACTGGTCCTTTCCATCCTTGCAAACTGCAGGCGTTTGCATGTTAACTTGGAAACCTAAAAAGAAAAGCTCAAAGGAAATGCTGTTGGACTCATTTACTCCTAAGTGTCCATAAAGCATCTATGAAAAGCAAGGATAGTGTCTGCTTTTAAAACTAAAGACATTGCCACCACGGGGGGAGGGGGGATGCTTGCTGTGGTTTTTCAGTTTTGTCGTTGTATTGCTCTAAAGCATACCCTACTTTTGTATTGTGTTGTGTTGTTTTGCTTTACGAGACTGGGTCTCCACTCTGGATCACGTTGAACTAGAATTCACCAAGTAGTCCAAGCTGGCCTCAGACTAATGCCTCAGGCTCCCAAGTACCATGCCTGGCTAGAAACACTGGCCTTGAGTGAGTAGTGTTGGTCTCACCAAATCAGAGTGGTGAGAGCCCAGTGAGCGGGCGGGCCCGCAGAGGTGCTCTGAGCGTAAGGTCTGTACCCACAGAGGTACACACCATTGAAGGACCATTAAGAGGATAATACTGTGTTGTACTGAGGTCAGTGTGGATCCTCTTTGTAAGTCATGCCTCTGTACAGGACAAATGTGCTGCCTGTGGACGTTCACAGTACAGTAATGATGACACGAGGATGGACTTTTCCCCTTTCTCTTTCAGAAACCCAGACCGTGGAAAGTGACACTGTTGTTTTCACTCAGGCAGCCCACCCAAACATGCGGACCTATTATTTCTGCACCGATACAGGAAAAGAGATGGAGCTGTGGATGAAGGCCATGCTAGATGCTGCTCTGGTGCAGACAGAACCTGTGAAAAGGTACAGTCCTGTGGGGAGCAGCAGTGCCCCCCACAGCGGTTTCACTCCTGCCTTCAGTGCCTTTCATCTTGCATGTTCTCTCAGCTGCCCAGGGCCAGCCTGGGGTGCTGTGTCAGCTGAGGACCCCGCCTGCACTTCTGTCCCCTCCTCCTTGCCTCATTCTCACCTGTCACTGCTCTAAGGTGACTGTAGAATCCTCACATTCAAACCGAGTGTTCTTTCTTCTTACAGAATCACCTTTAATTTCCGGTGAGTACGTGTTTCTATTACCTTAAAGAAACATGCTTCGTACAAGAGCCTGATTTTTTTGTTTTGTGTTATTTTTTTAAAGATCCCAAGTTATAGAATTTAATTTCATGCAGTTAATTTCACTGTGTTTGTATATTGTATTGGTATTTGGGAAGTAAATAAATAAACAAATTCTGAGTTTTCTTTTTGTTAATATTTCCTTGTTAATTCCAATTATTTTATTAATAACTCCAGAAAATTTAAATAATTTCTAAATGTAGATACTTCTTGATGACTTGTACCTTTCCTTTAATACTGTGGTACTGACCAAAACTAATCCTAGAGTTGTTTATTTTCTTCCCTGCTTGAAGATAACAGGTCATGTGAATATTCCTCATTATAATGAGAATCAGTCTACTAGACCTGCTGGCACACCATTTTGCGTGCATGCATCTGTCTGTGTGTGTGTGTGTGTGTGTGTGTGTGTGTGTGTGTGTGTGCACGCGTGCGTGCACACACACATACACATATGCTACAGTGTCTATGTGGAGGCAAGAGGGCAGCTTTCAGGAGTCAGTTCTTTTCCTTTCTCTCCATGGGTGCCAGTGATTGTACTCAGCATCTTTATCCACTGAGCTATCTCTGGCCCAAGGTACACACTTACAGCCTAAGCATTTCTGCACAGAAGAGTCTCAAGCTCAAAGCCAGCCTGTGCTACGTCACAAAGCCTGTCTCAAAGGCAACAGACTTAATCAGAGAAAGTACATTCACAAACTGCAACAAGAGGTTGAGTGAATACGCTTTTGAGTCAGGGCAGAGGGTTCCCTATGTAGTCCTTGCTGTCCTAGAACTCAGTATGTACACGAGATTGGCCTTGAACATACAGATACACCTGCCTATGCCTTCCAAGTGCTGGGGAATACACTTCTTAAAAATTCCTATAATTTGAAGGTTTATAATGTAATTGAAATTCTATTTCCAGTCAGTGATAAAGTTCACATTTTATATAACTGCTAACTTGCACATCTAAAGGTTTTCTCCATCTTTTGTGTGTGTGTGTGTGTATGTGTGTGTGTGCCCCACTTAGAGATCAAGCCCCATGGCATTGAGCATACTACTTCAGTGCATATTTTAAGTCTTTTGACATTTTGTCTGAAGGACTGAATTGAGCCTTTAGAAGACACTTGTACCCCACACACACCTCCAACCCTCCCCCAAGACAGAGTTTCTCTGTACATCCCTGGCTGTCTTAGAACTCACTCTGTAGACCAGGCTGGCCTTGAAACAGAGATCCACCTGCCTCTGTCTCCTGAGTACTAGAATTAAAGGTGTGTGTCATCAATGTTAGTTCTATTTATACTATTGCTTTTAAACCCCAGATTCTTGTCCAGGTCCCCAAGCATGGAAATAAAACAGGTTCTATGTTTTTTTGTTGGTGGTGGCTGTGCTGGAGATCATGTTCAGGACCTTATGTACGCTAGGCAAGTGCCAAGCCACCAAGCCATAGCCCTAGTCCTTGAGTATCTGATCCCAGCACTTGGATGGTGGAGGTGAGATAGTTGAGTGTTCAAAGCCAGGATGAGTGAATGTTCAAAGTGGGTAAAAGTATTTGTCTCAGAAAACTGATGGCCTGAATTGAATCTAAAGAACCACTGGGAAAAGAAATGACTACAGCATTGTCCTCTGACTTCTACATGCACAGAGTGACATGTATGTTCCCACACGTGACACATATCATGCAAATACTCCCACTGATAATAAGTAACAGAGTCCCATGTGGTGGCACACATTTTTAATCCCAGCACTTGGGAGACAAGAAAGGCAGATCTCCAAGTTTCAGGATAGCCTGATCTACAGAGTGAGCTTCAGGACAGTCAGGGCTAGGCAGAGAAACCCTGTCTCAAAAAAAAAAAAACAATAATAGGTAGTAATTAGGATGAGAGAGTCATTTGGGCTCACATGGATCATACACACCCACATACAGTACTAAGTTGAGAGGAAAACAATGGATTATAATCTGGTTTCTCTTTCATCTGTACTTAAAATAATTGATATCTAAGTAAATTTATCTTTAAAGCTTCTAGGAATTTTCTTTTTAATAGAGTATTTTATTTTCAAGTAGTTTCTATAGTATGTTATATTTTTCTTATTTTTAACTTATTTCCATTTTCTTTTGTTGAATTTACAATTCTAAAAACTGGAGCCAGGTGTGGTAGTGCGCCCCTGAAATTTTAGCTCCAGAGGCATGGAACCAAGGAAATCATGAGTTCAGGCCAGTCCTAGGCTGTTCAATGAAATCTGTGACCAAAAAGTAATATAAATTAATTAAAACTACACATAAAAATGTAGGGTTAGAGATGGCTCCATGATTAAGAGCACTGTCTGCTTTCTAGCACCCACTGGGCTGCTCATGGCCATCTGGGACTCCAGTTTCAGGGGATCTGACGCCCTCTTCTGGCCTCCAAAAGGCACTATATACATGCAGGCTAAAATGGCCATATACATTAAAAAAAAGATACATCTATCAACTCATAATATGAGATGATAAGAATGAGCTACTAGTTTCTATCCTATAACAATGTAGAGCTAGTTGTGTTGCCATTTTCTGCTGTTAGCCAGTAGTACTGAATAGTGCCACCAAGCTCAACCTGGAGTTAGCAGTCGCTCGCTGTTAGAGGATGAGTTGGCCTACTTTCTTCTACTCTTAGCTGTTGGAATTGATATCCTACCCCATTTTGTTGACGCATTCAATATTGAAAGTATCTTATTCTTATATTTCATTTCATAAATGCAGTGAGATGTTTTGTTTGTTCTATATAAGTAGTGGGACTCCTTTGCTTTGTGGACCAAATACTTAAGACAGTTACCAGGGCATATCACCTCGAAGATAAAATAACCATGTTTGGGGAAAGCAGATTTTTTTTGGTGCTGGATACCAAACCTAAGCCCTTCTATGTTACATAAGTATTCAGCCACTAAGCTACGTCCTTGGCCTAACACATCCATGACTGAGTCCTGCAAGGCTTGGATCTAGAAAGCCCACCAGGGTAGCTAGGAAATGAAGAAAATACACATACAGAAATGCTGATATCCAGTGTGTCCACTCATGAAGTGGCACCAACTTCTGAATCAATCTAGAACCTTGGCATGTTTATTATGTGCAGGACAGAAGGGAAGAGTAACTCTCAGGAAGAGGTCTCAGTCCATAAACATCTGCAAGGAAGGAGTTGCACTTGGTAGTTTTTGCACATACTGCTCAGTCATTCATAAAGACTCCTACTTGCACCCACTATCAAGAGTCTTGCTTAACCAGAGGAAGGCCTTTGTCAGTGACATACATGGCCAGCTCATGTCAGATAGTCCACATTGACTCAAGCCTTCACCCACTCCCCATAGCCCCGTGTTTAAAGCTCAGCTTTCTAAATTCATAAAGGGTTTCACCCAGAAACTGCAGTGTTTTAGTGCCCTGGTACATAGATAGTTGCTAACATTCTTAAAATCTGGTTCTAATATACTTTCTCTTAATAATTTCCATCTCTGTGCACATAGTTTCATCTTGTATGGCCTCGCTGTGTTTTCTGACCTTTAAAGAGACTATGGGTGTTTACCTACATGTGTGTCTGTGTGGTGTGTATGTCCCTGGTGCTCGTGGATGCCAGAGGAGGCATCAGATCCTCCTGGAACTAGAATTACAGAGTTAAAAGCTTCCATGTGGGTGCTGGGTATTGAACCTGGGTCCTCTGCGAGATCCACAAGTCCTCTGAACCACTGAACTTTCTCCCTAGCTGCCCCCTCAGTCCCTCCCTTTCTCTCCCCCTCTTTCCCTCCCTCCCTCCCTCCCTCCCTCCCTCCCTCCCTCCCTCCCTCCCGTCCTTTCTCTCCCCCCCTCTCTCCCCCTCTCTCTCTCCCTCCCTCCCTTTCCCCCTCCCTCCCTCCCTCCCTCCCTCCCTCCCTCCCTCTCTCCCTCTCTCCCTCTCTCTGTCTCCCCCCCCAACCCCCCGGTATGTGCACTAGGCATCTAAACCATGATCTCTCATGCTAGGCATGTACCCATCTCTGTGACTAAACTAAACCTCCAAGCCAATGTTTCTGTTGTCACTTGACATACAGTAACTTCACATGTTCCTATACATAAAGTGGGACATTTCACATGCATACAGTGTGCGATGATACAATTGGAGTAAATAGCAGAGCTGGGGTTATTAAAAACCTATACTAGTTATTTGAAAAATCATTATCAACCATAGTTGCCTTACAGTGCTGTTACAATGAAGAAATGTCTTCTATTTAACTGTACTAATTATCTACTCTCTCTGCACGCTCCTCCCCTATCCCTCCTCTGCCTCTGGTAACTACCTCTCTGTTCTGTTTTTTGGCAGTCAGTATTCTAGATTCTACATGGAAATGAGAGGATGATATTTCTGGATTAGACTTATTTCACTCACATAATGACTTCTGAGATATTCATTTGACTGTTCTCTCCCTCTTTCTCTCTCTTTCCCTCTCCCCCCTCCCCCCATGTGTGTCTGTGTGTGTCTGTGTGCATGCATGCACGAACACACATGTGTTACAAATTCTTTATCCATCCATTGCTATATCTTGGCTTTTCTGAAGATTGTCTGTTGTGCTACAATAAGCTTATTGGTATAGGAATCTCCTCAACATACTAATTGGATGGACCCAGTGGTAGGATTGCTAGATCATAATTCCTTTTTTATTCTTTTTTGTTTTAGTATATGTTTTTGTCTGTTGGTTGGTTGTTTTGCTTTGGTTTGGTTTTTAGTCAGAATCTCATGTAGCCCATGCTGGCCTCAAACTCAGTGTAGACTGAAGGATGGCCTTGAACTCTTGGCCCTACTTACTGCACTGGGGTTACAGGTATGTGTGTGTCCATACCTGTCTTCAGGTAGCAGTTCTGTTTCTTGATTTTGAAGAACCTACCATTTTTCTTATCAGTCATGCTAATTTCCAGTGTCTTTGCTGTTACTTTCTTAAATCAGACGCATGTCTTGTGGTTTATGTTCTTGTGGTTTTCTGAGTCAGTTTTGTTCTATTTAAAAAAGAGTCATTACATGCTGATGTTTCTTCAGTGATAAATATTTGGACAAAACATTACAATTCTAGTTTAAAACAGTAGCTGTAGTTTATTGGACTTTAAAGATACTCAGCATTCAGTGTTAACCCCTTCCTGCAGACTTCATTGAACTTTTGGTGTCAGTTTCCTAGCGATTTCCTCTTTGAAGGGAAGAAGTCCCACAGACTGTCATTATGAACCACCCCACCCTACCCCCGCAGCCCGCCACTTTGTGTCTGCTGTTGTATCTGATCTAGGAGTGTGACTTATGTCTCTGCATTGTGTGATTTCACTCTGAGAGAAGGCACTTATCTTTGACTCTTGCTAGAGCCCCATTCCAGAGCATCTATAGAATCTACATTTCTTCACGTAGCTTTGAGTGTGGCTACATGCATGTGATATGTATGTTCTCCATGTCACAGAACTTAACAGTGCCGCCCTTGGGATCTCAGTAGTACCACGGTGTGCTGAAATACAGGAGGCAGGCCACATCTGTGAGTTCATGATGAATGGAGTGATCTTGACAAGTTCATGTGGGCTCAGACACTCAGCTGGATTTTATAAAAGCCTAGATATGATTGGCTCAGAAATACAGCATATCATCAGAAACTGTATAGTGAACTCAAGCAGCCCAGAAACACAGTTAACCAACAGTAAAGGCAGTATAGGCCATGCAATTATCATTTGGTTCTCATGACAGTCTTCTGACATTGCTGAAGGTGGTACTCTATTTACCAAAAAGCTCACACTGTAAGCTTCTAAACCTTGCCTAAACATGCCCATTGGAACTGGGCTTGGTGGTCCGTGCCTTTAATCCTAGGCAGAAGCAGACAGATGTCTCTGAGTTCCAGCCTAGCCAGGCCTACATAGTGAGACCATTTTTTTTATTTAAAAAGGAAAGAAAAATAGCTACCCACTGAGCATGAGCAGCTTGGCCCTGGAACTCCTAAACTGTGCTCTCTGGGTCTGATATCTCCTACCTATAATGTCAGCAACTGTAGCTCCTGAGAAGCTGAGGCTGAGGCCAACCTGGGCTGCATGGTGACATTACTCTATACACAGGTCCTCTTGCATGCAAGCAAGAGTTAGTCATTCAGGTCAGCTCTTTGGTGGCATCAGACTGTAATTTCCTGTTGCAGCAGCTTCCTCAGCCAGACCCATGATTGTCTCATGATGAGCTGACCTTCATGACTGAGAGCCACATTGTTATTTCAATTGCTGGCTGCTTTAAGTGGGCTGTGGCTTAACCATTAATGGTAAGAAACAGCATTTACTGTGTTTGGAGATTTCAACAGACAGAGGCACATTGCATTTGTCTCAGTGGCTTTTGCCTAGCAGTATTATCCTGTATTCTAGTACCAGCCTGCATGATAATGCCACAACCCTGAGGCTCTGCCACAGCTTGTGCTCTGACTGTTACTTTGTTGCTTGTTCTCATGAAAGTTAGTGTCCTAGGTTGAGCTTAAGGTATGATAGACACCTGTTCCATCTACCTACTATGTTTTTCTCCTCTGCTTTCAGAGTGGACAAGATTACAACTGAAAGTACATCAACTAAAGAAACCAATAACATTCCCAACCACAGAGTTCTCATTAGACCTGAGGTCCAAAACAATCAGAAGAATAAGGAAATAAGCAAAATTGAAGAAAAAAGGGCCTTAGAAGCTGAAAGATACGGATTTCAGAAGGATGGGCAAGATAGACCATTAACAAAAATTAACAGTGTAAAGTTGAACTCCCTGCCATCAGAATATGAAAGTGGGCCTGCCTGCCCACCTCAAAATGTGCACTACAGACCCATCAATGTGAATAGTTCTGACGGCAAAGCAGTGAATGTCAGCTTGGCAGATGTCCGGGGCGGGAGTCACCCAAATGCAGGGCCCCTAGCCACAGAGGCTGATCGAGTCATTCAGAGAACGAATTCAATGCAACAGCTGGAACAGTGGATTAAAGTCCAGAAAGGACGGGGTCTTGAAGAAGAGCCCAGAGGGTAAGTTCCTGGCATCACCAGCCTGCTTTCTCTGATACGTGGTGGGGCAGGTTGGCTTCAGTTGCAGTACTGGTTTGAAGTATGTTTAGATTTCACACTTACCTTGTTCATGGTAATCAGATGTAAGTGTTTTCTGTTTCTCGTTTCTATGGATAGCCTAGCTTTGGTAAAGAGCCGTCCTTCCTGGCCCAGAATGATAGGCAGAAGCTGGAGGAGAGCTGAGCTTTAGGAAGAGAAGAGGCCTCCACCCTTCTGCCTTTACCCCTAATCTCTCTTCCAATGGCAGCTTCTGCATCCTCATAGACTGAAGAAATCTGGGAACCAGGTGTGGTAGCACACACCTGTAACTCCAGGATTTGGGAATAGAGGCAGGGGGATCAGGTCAGCCAGAGCTACACAGTGAAACCTTGTCTCAAAACAAGGCACCGCAAGGTGCCTTGAGTACCTCAGGTTTGATTCCTAGACCACAAAAAGGGAGAGGAAGAAAGACCTATAAATCTTAGATTGTAACCCAAAGCTTTAGAGAATGTTCATGTTTGAAGTCTGGAAAGGAGAGGGCCTGGCTCTGCCTGTGAGTCTCCATCTTCAGAGGGCAGTCTACCCTTGAGCACGGTGTGTCTGAAGTGGTTAAAATTGTGAAAGTGAATACATTCACCTCATGGGAGACTGGGACAAAAGGAGGGTTCTAAGGAAAACCTGCACGAGCCAGGTGTGATGGTCCATGCCTTTCTCTAGTCCTAACACTCCTGTGGTTGGAGGCCGGCCAGCCACACAGTGAGACCCTGTCTTCATTTTAATAAAAGGAGAGGGGAATCTCAGAGAACAAACATTTGAGAAACAAGAAATGGCAGAGTTTGCAGAGATTATCAGGAGTATATGCTGAGGAGTAGGCCCATTTCAATAAAAAGCTTGTTCTGTTTTGAGACAGTTTCAATGTCTCTGAGTTCACAGCCAGGCTGGGTTACTTCATAGTTAGGAGTGGGCCAGCCAGAGCTATACACCGAGACCCATTGGAAAACACTAAAACAGAAATACAAATTGTGAAGTAAATTTTACAGCTAGGGACACAGTGCAGTGGTAGAGCGCTTGCCTGGTATGCACAAAGCATGGATTTGATCCCAGCCCTCACAAGACAACAGACTTTACATTTCTACAAGTATTTTTTGTTCAGATTCATAAAAATCATTTTATTTTTTGGGGGGGAGTGGGGGTAGGGAAAGTGAGAATGGGGGGAGGGGTTGAGACAGGGTTTCTCTGTGTAGCCCTGGCTGTCTTGGAACTCTCTTTATAGAGGCTAGACTCAAACTCAGAGATCCATCTGCTTCTGCTTCCTGAGTCCTGGGATTAAAGGTATGCATCACCACTGTCTGACTGTAATTTTTCTTAAAACACAAATTCTTAGAGAAAGTTTGTTTTATTTTAAATGGACTTTCCAAGTTCCCTTACATGCTTTATATTGATGACATAGACCGTGGTACAAGTGTGTGATGATTTTCGTGCAGATCTCTATGTGACGTAACTGTCATTGGAACTTGTAAGGAACAGAGAACAGAGATCATGACTTGAATGATATTTTGGTTGACTCCTGAAACTTGTGAGGTGTGGGACTGTGTCCCAGCTCTGTTCAGGTACAATGGCTGACCTGCAGTACCAGAAGCTTATCTTCAGGAAGATGGCTCTAAAGCCTTGTTGGGCTGGGCTTGTTAGCTTGCCCAAGGCTGCAAGTGCACATCCCCTGTAAGGTGCTGCTCACCCATCTCCCGCATCCTGGGTGCTCACTTTTAGGGTTTGCACACGAGAGAGATGTGAGTAACACTGACTTTACTCAGTATGTTGTAGAGACTTTTGTACAACACAGTGGTTGAGCTGTAATGGGGAATTCATTGAAGTACTTGAAATTGCTCATTTTTGAAATGGCCTCACCATGTGCTTCTGACTGGCCTGGGCAGGAACGCCAAGATCCCCCCGCCTCTGTCTCAGTATTGCTGAGATTAAAGACTGTACGTCTGTACCTGGCCTCCAGGATGGTGTCACAATTGCAAGTTGCATGTCCATGGTGTGTGTGTGTTCTAGGGTGTGGCATACACTGTCTGATTGTTGCCAGTGTTTTTAGAGGGGGAAACGTATGACTAAATGCTCAGATACACAATTATCAGGGAATTACACATTAAAGAACAGTGGGATACTAGTGTCACTTTCATAGTGATCACAGTCATAGGTAAGCAAACGACTTAATGACTGGATGAGAAAATGGAATTTAACTATTGGACAATCAGCTGATATATTGTCAGTAGGAAAATAAATCAGTGCTTTTTGATGAGATAGAAAAACAGGAAACAGTTCTGAGGGCAAAAAGGTTTGGGGACTAAAGGTCAAATTCAGGACACAATTCAGACTGGAAGGCTGCCAAGTTGCTTCCTCTCAACTTAAATCTCACTTCAAAGAAAAATCAGTCCCTCAAATAAAACATTTCTTTCTTGAGTTTAAAAGTATGGAGAGGGTAGCAGGCGTCTGGAATGTATGTTTTCCCGTATGAAGTGTCAGTAAGTGTGAGCCCCTGGAAGGGCCTTCTATCCTTTCTTCTGCATGCAGCCTCCTGAAGGCTTGTCCGATTGCTTGGACAAGGGCTCTGTCTTCATTCTTCTCCTCAGGTTCACAGTGTTGTCAGTCCCCAGAGTACTTAAAGTGTCACATTCTTTGCAAATGCCTCAAGGCCACTTTGAATCTTTGAAATGTATCATGTACGGTTCTAAATAAACCTCCCCAAAAAACATTTGCAGACTTTTACTAGTGAAAAGAAGCATCGTAATTCATGAAATAACTGATTTTTTTTCCCTTTCTGAAAAGCTTTCTTTAATTACTGAGACCCTAGTAGGAAGCCGTGGTGCTTTAATGTCGGTCCCTGCACCTCTGAAGGAGCTGCAGTGTCTTTGTGAGTGAGGAGCCTTGATTGTCCCCGGGGCAGATCACAACCGCCACTGCTGAGTGGGCTCCCTAAGCTCACCCTTTGCTTCACAGTCATTCACACTTGGCTTCATGTAAATTTCTTTGGGACAGAAATCACTGGAGTAAATTGTACTTCTGAAAAGCAGGTCTTCTAAAGCTAGAATGTGTAGGAGACAAAAAAAAATGAATTTACTGGTTAATAACTTATTTTTCTATTAAAAGTCTCCCAAAGTTTCAAAGAGGACAGAAGAACCTTTCCAAGTTGTGTCCATTATCCACGTTGATGGGACACTGCTGTTAATAACACGAGAGGCCGGGCAGGCAGAGTAGATGCAGCAGCTCACGTGCTAGTGCAGCCTCAGAGACTGACAGCTCCGTCACTCCCGAGTTTCGGTTTGCTCTTAGTGTGTAGGTCGTCTGCCGTCTTCTAGTCTGGCAATACATGTCCCTTCTCATGCAGGTACATGTCCATGGTGGCACTCTGTACTTCTGTAGTGTTGGCTTCTTAAATTTATGACTTAACTTTCTTAATTTTCTAAAGCAAAGTATGGTGGTTAAGTTGCTTTAGAGTTAGTCTCTCAGGTGGAAACAACCTGAGGTAGAGTTCTCCAATGCCAGACTGGAGTCTTGGATAGAATCAGCTCCCCTGGCAGCCATGCCTCCTGAATACATGAGTGTGGGGCTGCCTGCTCTTCATCTTTGACCCTGATTTCTGTCTTTTATCTTATCAAAGAGAAGTTGGAGGGAAATCTATTGGGAGGTGAGGGTTGGGTGTGCAACAGGAGAGAAAACCACAGCTAATGGAACTCCCGCTCTAGTCACAGGAGACTGTTCCTCTCACTTGGGGAACTATCGCTGACAACATTGCACAAGCCTGAAAGAGGAACCAGAATGATGGAGATCTTTACTGTTCAGGAGAGATGACAGAAGGGATCAGACATTGTTTGAATGTAGTGAGTAATGTGACCTTAGACTCTAGACAGCTTCATGATCCGCTCTCGCTTAGTCAGGAACGCACAGTGGCTGAAGAACTCACGGGCACTACTAGACAGCAGGAACACACGAGGGTCCCAGCCTTCCGGGGTCACTGCTTCCTAGACTTTGTTAGTTCTTGTTTTAACTTGCATCTGTGGCTATGAGTATCATGGGTGTGGGGGTGCCCAGGAGGCCGGAGGTTGACGTCGGCGTGAGGCACCTGATGTGGATCCTGGAAGAGCAGCATGCACTCAACTGCTGAATCATCTCTCCAGCCCCTGATGGCTTTAGTTTCAGTTAATTCACTATGACAGATGAAGTTTCATGCACAACATATATGTCTTTAGCAGGTCTTTTGAAAAAGGGATAATTTTTTCATTTATATGTAAATGTCTGGAAATTGCTAGTAGACATTTTCATTCACAAACTCTTCCTATAATGCCAGACATTAACAGAATATGGATATGATAACCTGGGTGGCCTGGAACTTGCTATGCAGACCACACTGGCCTTGAACTCACAGAGATCCAACTGCCTGAATCCCCCAAGTGCTGGGATTGCAGGTATGCATGCCTTCCTTCCCAGTTGTTCCTAATCTGACTTTCCCTCTATGTTACAGTATTTTCCATAGTCACAAAGAGAAGGTATATTCCTCCTAAAGAGAGCTTCTCATTGAATAACAGTAATATCATTTTACATACCAGTAGGAACTGAGTTTGTAGTGTACCTCATAGCCAAACATGCACCCAGTCCTTACACTAGGTCACAGTAAGATCTGTTCAAGGACTTTGTGGGCTTTGTTGTTGTTGTTGGAAGGTCCTGTACAGCCCAGGCTTCCTTAGACCTGCTGCTTCTCCAGAGTGAACAGGTCAGCTGTCAGTCTGCTGGAGCGGCATTGATGCACTCCTGCAGTAACAAGACTGTGTCGGAGAGCTCTGGGAGAGCCAGAGACAGCTCGGCGGTTATAAGTACTTGCTGCTTTTCTGGAAGACCCAGGTTCAATTCCCAAAACCCGCATTGGGTGGCTCGCGACTGTGTGTAACTCCAAGTGCAGTGGATTTGACTCTTCTGGCCTCCTTGTATGTGCTCTGCACACACATGACATTCACTCACACAGACGGACACACACATATTTAAAAAAAAAATCTTTGGCTTCCAGTTTATCAGCCAAAGATTAAGATTATTAAGAGTAGTAAAGTAGGGGCTGGAGAGCCTGTCGGTGCCTCAGCAACTGAGAACACTGACTGCTCTTCCACAGGACCAACGTTCTGTTCCCAGTGCTCACTTGATGGCTCACAGCCCTCTGTAACTCTAGCTCCAGAGGGTCCGATGCCCTCTTTTCTCCTCTGCCTGCACTAGGCGTGAAAATGGTGCACAAGAAATACAGGCTAACTCCACATGCTTATTAACACATAAAGTCTCTTTAGGAGTTTAGAAAAGTAGCCTGCAGGTCAGGTTCCACCCACTTCTTGAAGTGACCGGCATCTGCAGACAGCTAACACAGGAGGCAGTGAAAGCAGGTGCAGTGTGCAGGAGAGGCCAGTCGTACCTGTGGTGAGAGGTTCAGCCGTTAGAGCCCTGGAGGTGTGCGGGAAGCCACTGTTGCAGCCCACATTTCCCATAGCCCTGGGTTTTGGATTACATTAACTTTGTCTTAGGATACAAATGTATGCACCACAGAATATTAGGCTATGATGAACACTTGAAATTCAATCTTAACGGTTTTTTTGTTTTTTGTGGGTTTTTTTTGGGGGGGGTTGGTTGTTTTTTGTTTTTTTGCAAGCAGGGCCTTACTATCTAACTAGTTGCAGAGTTAAAGATGAATGCTTAAGATTAGTTCTTGAATAGTTTCTTTAAATTTTATTTATTAATATCTTGGAAATTGGATTTTTTCCTTTGTTTGGGGGAGAGGGCGTGGAGTTGATTGTTGGGGGTGGGGTTGTTTGTTTTATAAGACAGAAAGGGTCTCACTGATCCAAACCAGGTTGGCCTCAAACTTAGAGATCCACCTACCCATGCTTATGAAGTCCTAGGGTTAAAGGCCTAACTGTTCTTGCTATCACTGGAATGGGCAGATGCTTCTACACTCATCGACAACACTGTGTGTCACTAGCAGTCACATGTAGTTGCTGTGGAGTCTATCTGTGCAGTACCCTACCAGATGTAAGTTCATCTAAAGCTTTCGGTTTTTAGTGATTTACACCTCATATAACATGTTGGCTGACTAATCCTTCCTTCCTTCTCCTCTTTCTATTTGTTACGTATTGAGGTTCAAACCTAGGGCCTTGCACATGCTGAGCAACTCCACATGCCCCTGAACTATGTCCTTTTAAAAGATAAGGCCTGAGACGGAGTTAGGTGACAGGAAAAACCAGAAACACAGTGTCACGTAAAATTGCAAAAGCAAGTCTCTCTCCATTTTACAACAACTTTCATTTTTACAACTTTTGAATTTTAGAATAATTTCTTATCAAACATTGCCAAGAAATATGCCAAGCCACCGAGCACAGATTCTGGCCCGCTACCCTGAAGGTTACCGAACACTCCCAAGAAACAGCAAGACCAGACCTGAGAGTATCTGCAGTGTCACCCCTTCTGGTCATGAGAAGACAGGGCCTGGAGCAGAAGAGAAGCGGCGGTCCATGAGAGATGACACCATGTGGCAACTGTATGAGTGGCAGCAGCGCCAGTTTTACCACAAGCAGAGCACCCTCCCTCGGCACAGCTGCCTGAGCAGCCCAAAAGCCATGGTGAAGGTGTCAGACCAGACAATGCACTCCATCTCCACATCACCTTCCCATGGCTCAGCCACTGCTTACCAGGGCTTCTCCCCTCAGCGGACATACAGGTCAGAAGTGTCCTCACCAATCCAGAGAGGAGATGTGACGATAGACCGCAGGCACAGGCCTCATCACCCTAAGGTGAGGTGCTCTTTGTGTTAACTCATTGCTCGGTGCTGTTGTATTTTCTTTTTATATACCTTTTAAATTAAGTTAGAGGCAAGAGAACAAGGCTGTTCTCTTAAAACAGGTAGTTTCATCTTAAAAATTAAAACGCTGTTAGAATCTCGTAATAGAATCTAAGCTTTCAATTCTTCTGGATCACAGGAGCAATTCATTTGGTTTGTTTGTTTGTTTGTTTGTTTGTTTGTGCTGTAAGCCTCATATATAGAGGCAAGTACTTACATTTGAAGTATGTCTCTCATGCTTTTGAGGCAAGATCTCTGTAAGTTGTCCAAGCTGGCTTCAAACTCCAAATGGTCCTGTCTCCGCCTTAGATTATAAGTTTGGACCATGTTTATTTATTTTTCTATTGCTATGATAAAACACAATGACCAATGTAGCATTTTGAAGGAAGGCTTAGTTTTGGGCTTACAGACAAGGATCACTATTCAGACATGTTAATTAGTAGACCTCTCCCAAAGCCAAATGGAACCTATCACTTCAAAGAGGAAAAAAATCACAGCATTTGTCACCACTGATGGGATCTGAATTTTCAGGCAAAACTGCAGTCTTACAGACTGAATTTGATGACTTTCCAGGACTGAAGGATTGATGTGGTGTTAACAAACACACTCTTTCAGTATTTTGTACTGAAACATCTCAACTTGGAGAACATCGCATGACGTGCTGAGCCAGTACTCTGCAGATGAACTCTTTTATTACCAGACTACACACAGCCAAAGGTGAAAGTGCGGTAGACTAGAGGACGTCAGCTTTAAGAGAACACCACTTTGTTTTGAGCTTAGCTACAGATTGGATATGAATATCTACACCCACCCACATGAGCTGCCCAGTGTACCTACCCCTCACCAACTTACAGATGCCACAGGCGGATTTGGTAACATACTTTAACTATAAAGACTTGTTGTAACAGACTGAATATAAAAGCAGGCATGAAAAAGCAGCCAAATAATGAAAATCTGTGAAACTCTCAGCCTGTGCCACTCCCATCACTAAGTTTTCTCTAAGACTCTGAAGCCAGGCCAATGAAATGGCTCAGTAGTTAAAGATGTGGCTGTCCCAGCCTAGTGACCTGAGGTCAGTCTGCAGAACCCACCTAAAGGAGGGAGGACAGAACTAGTGCCACAGAGCCGTCCTCTGACCTCCATGTATGTGCTGTGTGTGCACACCTTATACATAAATGGTAATAATGAATATAAGATGTGTTTATATGGGCCCACGTATAATAGATCTTGCCTGTGATTCTAGCACTTTCATAGTGGAAACCAGTAGATGAGGAGATAAATGTGAGGCCAGCCTGAGCTACAAATGAGATGTTCTCTCAGAAACACAAAACAATAATGCCCACGCAAACACACGTGTCCTGAGAACGAGGAGTTTGCATGCAGCTGACCAGTCTTCATAGAATTACTTTGACCAGTAGCATCAATATTTCAGTCAAGTAAGAAGTGATGGTATTTCTCTCATAAAAACTAATGACAATTTTAATTAGTATTCCATAATGTAAATTTACATTATAAGATTATTCATCAATGATATGGACACCACCCTTCCAAAAGAAAGGTCCCCACTGAATTCTGTTGTCTCTCTCTTCTAGCATGTCTATGTACCTGACAGAAGGTCAATGCCAGCTGCCTTAACTTTACAGGCTGTGAGTCCTCAGAGCCTCCAAGGCAGAACGGTGAGTGTGATAAGCTTACTTATCATATGCCTGCTTTGTTTGCTGCCCCAAAAGACATGAAGCTGACATAGGTTTTTCAAGTGTGACATCACCTACAGAAGAAAACAAAACTGCTTTTTAAGAAAGATTCATCATGAGAACATAGACTTATATAGCCATGTCGATGTCTCTGTGGCTGCCTTCCCCTAAATGTCCAAATAAAGGAGCACATTTAAAGTTTACTATTTAACTCTGGATTTTTGATTTGTTATTCCCTCTTTCTTCAAAATAAAAATCAGGCACAGTGGCGCACAGGGATGGCTATGAGTTAGTCCAGCCATGACTGCATAGCATATATGACCCCATGGCATACATGACCACATAGTTTTGTTTTTGTTTATCTTAAAAAACCCAAGTAGCTCAGTAGGGAATGCTTACCTAAGATGCCCAGGGCCGCGTTCAGGCTCAGCAGGCCCTGTCTCAGCAACTCTCAACCTGTGGGTTGTAGATCACATGTTTACATTACAATTCATAACAGCAAAATTACATCTAGAAGTAATGTAAATAATTTTATAGTTGGGGTCACCACAACATGAGGAACTATGTATGTTAAAGGGTTGAAGCATTAGGAAGACTGAGAACCACTGTCCCACACAGACACCTCCCACAGACGTAGGAGTGAAGTCCAGCAAGCAGCTGTGGCTGCAGCAGGCCTTCTGAAACATTTTGCCTGTGGCTTTTGTTTTATTCTAAAACTAAGTCTTGATATGTAGCACGGGCCAGCCTGGAGCTCAGTCTTCCTTCTTTCTTGGCCTCTTCGTGTTGAGATTACATGAACATACTACCATACTTGGCTTTTCTGTGAAATTGAATATATATTAGCTACTTTAGAGTCAAAAAACACATTGATTTATGTATTTACCCAAAGAAAGACTATAGAGTAGTCAGCCAGCAATGGAGGCTTATGCCTTTAGTCCTGTCAGTCCAGTTAGAGCCCAGCTTAAGATACAGGATGGAAGGAAAAAACACCACAAGTATATTTACTATTTTCATTTTGTTGTCAATATTATCTATACTTAGAAATATTTTTTATATCAGTTCTTCAAATCAAAGAAAATACATGACTTTGCTTTGGCTTAGTTTTTGGGGGCTTTTGGTTTTTTTGTCATTTGTTTTTTATTGTTATTGTTGTTTTGTTTTGTTTGTTTTTGTTTTTGCCTTTGCTTTTAGGCAAGGTCTCCATCTAACAATCCTCCTGCCCTAGCCTCTGGAGTACTGAGGTTACAGGTGCATGAATCCTGCTGGAGTCTTTTCTCTGGGACCTGACTCCATTGTCAGTAGATTGTCCTATTGTTTGAGAATGGGATTTAACACCCATAGGATTGTTCATTATTATTTAAAATTCTCTTCTACAGCAATCAAAACAAACTCATCTGTATTTCATCTTATACATTTAGATATAAGGAAATTGCTCCTGATTTAAAGGGATCTCAGTTTCTCAAAGATTGTAAATATATTTTATTTAAAACCAAAAACCATTAAATACTAGGTTGTTAAAAAACCAAGAACTGTTAAGCAGCAGATTATCAATGTGACAGAAGCAGGCAGCAGAATGCTACTAGCTGTCTGCTAGTTTCTCTTCCATTTTGCTCCCTCTAGTGGCTATTCAGGATCAAACCTATTTACCATCACCCCCAACCTTCTCCCAGCCAATAATGCCTCTATTTGACCTCAACATGTGAATGAATATACAGTTAACTTACAGCTTTCTGTGCTTTTGAAAATTCCCGCATCATTTTGGTCCATACACAAACTTCCTTGGATTTTCTGTCAGAAATCTGCCTGAGGTTCAGAATATCCTATTCTACCAAAAAGAAAGAAGAAAATATGGCAGTCCTTATGTACCCACATCTCTGGAAAGACCTCAAGAGCTGGACAAGGTGATCAGGAGATAAAGCCTGTCCCAAAGTCCTGTAGTCACAAGGTGGCTTCAGAACAAAAGCTGGCCTTTTGGATTTTGTTTGGTTTGGGGTTTTTTTTTTTTTTGGGGGGGGGGTCAGGGAGGGTTCACTCACTGTAGCTTGACATCACATGTACTAACCACTGTTGACTGCTAATTATAAAAGCCTCCTGCCTTGTCTTTGTGCCTACCTTCATCTGAGGAGCTAATAGGAGGTGTAGCTTCCTTCTGTGATGCTCTGCCTGTCTGAAGGCAACAGTGGGAATGCCGTGGGTCTCCAAAAGCACTTTATGGTATAGAAAATGGAGAGGCACAGCATGTGAACAGAAGAGCCAACATAAACATGCGTGTAGACAGAGAGCTAGCAGGGCCCAGGCCCAGACATTTGGGAGCAGAGTCCTTTTCCCACCCCTTACACTTTGTAAACAAAGCTCTGAGAAGCAGCTGTCCATCTGCTGCTGTAGGACCCCATACAGATGGTGAGAAGCTCACCCGCTGTTGAACGCTCTCCTCCCCGGGATTTGTATTGCCACTGGGGAATCAGAGTCTCCAGTGTTTCCAGGGAATGTGTGCAGGGGTTGGGGAACACTAATAGCAATATCTGTTTTCCTTTCTTTCTCCTTTAAAAAATGGCATCTTAATCATTTTTAAAATGCTGTGGAAACTATTGGTAGGTAGCATTACAAAATGCAAGTGACCTTACATACCGAATCTTGGGATTCAGAAATGATACCCAAGTTTTTGATTTCTGAAATGTAATTCTTTTGATTTACTTGTTCTTTGAAATGGTGTTGGGTGGGCTAATACTGTTCTGTCGCCAGAAGAGTCTTAGGTATAATTTTAATACTCTGATGACATCTTTAATGAGCAACTTAACAGTTCTCTGTGCTAAACTCTATGGTGGTTTTGTGCATTTTTATTCTTGACGATGAAATACGCTCATGAGTTCTGAATGTCCTGCTGTTTTGCTGTAAAGTAACACTATTCCTTCTGTCTCTCTAGATGTCTATGCATTTATGTAGGACCTATCATCATAGAGCCTAGGCTCTATGATGCCAACCGTAAGAGGAAACTTGCCAAGAAATCTTGGTTTAATGTCTGTCACTTAAGACAACAATTAATCTGTTTTCCACTGTTTGGATTCTTAAATTGTACTCCTTCAGCCAGAGGAGCTTACGCTGCTGCTAATAAAGCTGAGACGGCAGCAGGCAGAGCTGAGTAGTATCCGGGAGCATACCTTAGCACAGCTCATGCAGCTGAAACTTGAGGCCCACAGCCCAAAGGTCAGCTATGGAGATGTATGTGTCTGGCATCATCAATCATCAGTGCATTCTGTGTCCCTGGTGTTGCGCATGAGCCTGTACCATCACCTCAGGAACGTCACAGTCTCCTATTGACCCTTTGAGAATTCAGCTTACTTACACAATGTATAATTGAGAAAATTCAATGAGTGTCCTCTTCTTACCCTTCAACTCAACTGTTTGGGAGGAAAGGGGAGGGGGCTACACTGAGGTCTCAAGATAGTTCTGCTGGACTTCTACATCTGACAAAACAGGTACTGAAAGCTTAGGTTTCCAAATAAAGCAGGAAGTTGAAAATTCATTATAAGCCTTTTTTCTTATGAGAAAAAATGAAGACATAAAAATATTTCTCAGCTGCACACCTGTGATCCCAGCACTCAGGATTGAGTACAGGATCAGGGAGTTGGAGGCCAGTCTGAAATCTCTCAAAGGGTTAATAGCCTCTGTTTATATGAGAAGGGAGAACTATACCACAGAAAAGGACTGGCATGGAAATCTTCTAAATCTGCTAAAGCCATTGCAAGTGTTTTCCTACTGAATAGCTCAGTGTCTGTGATTTACATGCTGAGTATGCGTCTGCACCCTGACAGAGCATGTATGTGGGGGCTGTGTGCTATGGGGTTGCTCTGTAATAACTGCCTGTTTTTCTTATTGCCGACTGACCTTTTGACAATTTGCTCTCTATCCCTCCTTCCTTGATTGATGGCTACTAGAATGAAATTCTTTCACATCATCTCCAAAGGAACACCATATATTTGGATCATCAGGTGGGGTTTGTAGAATTTTCTTATTATGACACCAGTTAGAACTTACCATTTATAGTACAATTTTTCTGGCTTCTTAGATACTTCATTCAGTCACTTTAATTAATTGCATGATTTCTTTAAGAAATGGTAAAGAGCCCTGACCAAAAAAGGCCTCTGTGAGGGCCAATAAGGTATGAGCACTGGATCAGCTATATCCCGTTTCTTTCCTTGTATCTCATGAAAACACTTACATACTGAGGTGTGTCTGAGCTTGGGCTGAGCAGTGAAGGAATGAACACTGTGGAGGTCCTATTGGCAGTGGGAGGAGAGCCTGTGTAGTGTGCTGGGTTCCTAAGGAGAGCTTCAGGGTGGCTGGAATGGGCTTCCAATTGCCTGGGTGCTGTCTCCTCCCAGGGTTGGTCCTTGCCAAGTACACAGGGCTTGTCTCAGTGCCCTGTGATTCTCCCCATTACCTCATGGTGGGTGGCCAAGGGGGGTGATGGCTAGTGAGCAGTTACCATGGGGATAAACTGAGACCCTGTGTCGGAAAGGCAAACACACCTCAAGAAGTGAAAAGCACCAACAAACAAGGATTGTTAAACACTGTTAATATTTAGTGGGCCTTGGTATCTTATCAGACATAATTTCTGCTAACAAATTAATTCTTTAATAAAGATCAAGCTAAGCCTTATTTTGACTTGCCTTGAAATGCGTAGATTTGAATGTTTTATCAAATATAGTTCCTACAGGAAATGTTGTAAGACAGATGCTTACATCTTTGAAAGAAAATGGTAAATTCAGCTTTATAAATTATTTCTATTTAAAGAGAGATTTTATGCCAGGAAAGCCCTTTGCAGACATATTCAGTTACCCTAATTTTAAAGAAGCACACTTTTCTTAGAAGGTAATGTACATTCCCACTCGGTTTTGCCATGATTTTGCTATTGGGATGCTTCAGAAATCAGCATTTTGTTATCCACGTTCAGGTCTTCACTGCAGAGACTAGACTGGTGA